AGTCTGTGGTACTGTGAGTACTTTGCTCCTACGGGTCAGGTTGGTTCTGTTGGGCTCCAGCAGCTGACAAAGGTTCATCCTCTGAGGAGAATCTAGAGCTTTCAGAAACTACTCAGAGGATCTCAAAGGATCATGTGGGTCTCTGAAGACCCTGGTCCTCCTCAGAGACTGGAACGATCCACAGCAGCTCCACGATAAGAACATGATGTCGTGGTTCAAAAGAGGGGAGTGGTCAGTGGGCAGAGCTTTATACTGTTTGATCTCTTATCTCCAACTTAACTTGGAGCCGGTCAGCTGATCAGCATAAGTCCCTTGTTCTTTACTTTGTTCTGTACCTGGTTATATCCCTGGTTCTGTACCTGGTTCTGTCCCTGGTTCTGTCCATAACAATCATTTAGTCATCACTTCACTCATTAACAATCATTTCAGGTTCTGGTCTTGACCTTACTGTGTGTGTGTGTGTGTGTGTGTGTGTGTGTGTGTGTGTGTGTGTGTGTGTATGTTTTCTAAAGTGACAGTCCAGTTAAATCTTATCTTTAACTTCTGAAGCTCTGGACTCTGTCAAGTTATTTAAAGACTAAAAGACATAAAGAGCATCATGGGTAATCACAGTCCTTATCATAGTAGGGAATGTTAATGACGAGCAACACACACACACACTATCAGACATGTCCTCATGTACAAATACTTTAAACATGAAGTTACAAACTGTTTCTTCTAATGTAATGAATCTGTTGTTGTGTTGATGTCTTCAGTTCATCAGCATCTATTGTCCTCGTGTCCTGGAGACGGATCCTCACATGTGACTCTGAGCTTCAGTTACTGCTCAGAAAGTGTCTCTGTAGTTTGACTCTTGATGAGTGAAGGACAGAGGACGTTGCTGCTTGTTGACATCGATGAGACAAAGTGAATATGAGACAAACTGAATATGAGACAAACTGAATATGAGACAAACTGAATGTGAGACAAACTGAATGTGAGACAAACTGGGAATGTGTATATAAGACAAATACATGTGAAGGATTGATTGATTTTATCTTCACACAGTTTGTTGCCATAGTTACTGACTCAGAGTTAAACTAATCAAAGAGTTTTTATTAAACCTGAATTCTGGTTTAAACTGGTTCTTTGTTCTGGAAACTTCTTATCTTCTGTGTGAGTGTTTCTATTCCAGTTTTTTCCATATTTGGTTGTATGCACTTGCGCTCTATCTCTCTCTCTGTCATTCTCTCCTGCCTCACACGCCCCGCCTCTGTCTCTCATAAAAGCTCATCAACCTCAGTCCGTCCTCTGCTCTGCAGCACAATGGCTCCAAAGAAAGTGGAACCAAAGAAGACGGAGGTGAAGAAGGTGGAGGTGAAGAAAGAGGAGCCTCCTCCTGCTCCTGCAGCACCAGAGATCAAGCCTCCGGAGGTCGACCTGAAGAGCGTTGTGGTTGAGTTCACTCCCGACCAGATCGAAGAGTTCAGAGATGCCTTCACGCTGTTTGACGAGACGCCCGCTGGTGAGATGAAGATCACCTACGCTCAGTGCGGCGACGTGATGCGAGCACTTGGCCACAACCCAACCAATGATGAGGTGCTGAAGCTGCTGGGGAGACCGAAGGTGGAAGAGCTGAACGTCAAGCTGCTGGACTTCGACAGCTTCCTGCCCATGCTGCAGCACGTGGCCAGATCCAAAGAACAGGGCACATTCGAAGACTTTGTGGAGGGTCTGAGGGTCTTTGACAAGGAGGGAAATGGTACAGTGATGGGGGCGGAGCTCCGCCATGTCCTCGCCACCCTGGGAGAGAAGATGACAGAGGACGAGGTGGACCGACTGATGGTGGGACAGGAGGACGCCAACGGACACATCAACTACACCGAGTTCGTCAAACACATCTTGGCGGGATAAATGTGAAATAAACGTCACTGTGTCCAAATCACGTGTCGACACTTTCATTCATTTTATCATCAAGTGTTGTTTATTGACAAACATGTTTAATGAACTCTTGATAAATAAATAAATGACGAACATCCCATCTCCATATCAAAGAAATAATTAGAATACATTTATTTAGACAAAAGCTTTGAAAACAAAAACATCAAAGACAAGAAGTAAAAAATAATACATTTAAAAAGAGAAAATTATTTAAACTCACACACACACACACACACTCCAACACACAAACACACAC